TGTTTTGTGCCTTTAAATGATTTATTTTTGCACAAAAAGTCTTGATTTGCCCAAGACTTAAGGGTGAGGGTTTTATGTCCTCCTGTGAAATGCTTGACTTTGACCTGCCTACAGTAGATTTATGGCCCCTGCTGTCCATAAGCAGGACTAACTGAGGTAGCAGAGGACCAGGTCAATTGGAGGCAGAGTGTTACAGCTGTCAGAGAAGCAGTGCCTCTCATCTTCTCCGTCCATCACATTAAATCGATGGGGCCTTTCAAAGGACAGCGAGTAAGAAATGATGCCTGGGAATAAAAAAAAAAACAATGATGGAGGAGGCAATGGGGACACAGGCTGGTTGCTAGATTTGTTTCCCTAATAAAGACACAAACAGATAAAAGCCTGACATTGTATGAAAAGATTTGGTGAATAATACTGATTGAGTCATTGTAAGGCTGCACCATACCAACTCCACTTAGTTTTCCTTTTTGGGTCGAGTCACAATTTTGAAGTTTCCATGTTTTGATCATCTCATTCTGGTTAGATTTTTTTCCCCCTAAACTTTTTATTGTTTATTTGTCCATGCATTTTTTTTTCTCTTGTGCTCTTTGTTCATTCTAGAATGTTACTATTGATCTCTGTTTGTCTCCTTGCCTTCACTGATAGGTTCTTTGTGTCCTAGCTCAATTCATTCAGGTTACCTGGTCTTTTCCTCAGCTGCCCTGCCTTAACTCTATCAGCTGTATCTATTTTCCTCTGGAAAGCTCTTTTGGGATGCTTGTCATTTTTCTGTCCCTGCCTTTCTCCTGTTTGACACTGACCACGTTCTGTGTCTGTTCCATCATCAGTCACAACTTGTGCCAATTGGCAATCAACACTGGTAGCCTGTAGGATCTGTTCATGCATCCAGATCCCTCACCTCTCTTATGCTGCATTGTACCAGGTCTGCACAATGTACAGTCTGTACAAACATGTCTGACTCATCTGTTCTTTAGAAATGTAGTTTTGCATCTTTTCCATGAAATAAAGGCTCAAGCATTATCCCTGAAAGAGGACGGAGAAAGCTCTCAATTATGCTCCAGAAGAAAATGCAAGTAGGTGAACTCAGGGATACTATTTATGCTCACTGTCATTGTTCTCTGCTGGACTCTTTTGCTCTCCTGTCCATTCCACAAATGCTCTATTTACATTTTCATGTCCATTTTCTGAGTGCATGACTACCTTGCAAGTTTTCATCATTATTTCTTTTGTTCGTGTAACTAACCTCATCATGTCTCCACATTTGAGTCCTTTACCAAACCAAAGCTTGACAGTCTTACTGTGAAATTAATTTAGTTGAAACTCTGTTTTTTTCCTGCTTCTTTAATGCAGAAGACCACATTTTTCATCTGTCATGGCTTTAACAATATTTTGGCTTCAAAGTTAATGCTCTGCAGTATTTTCTGTTTTCCAAATGATCTAATATCAAGTTTTCTAAGAGATCTGCTGTTTTGTTTCCCTTAAAGCAGGAAATTTCCCAGCAAAGAGCAAATACTCTCTTGGCACCTAAAAAACATCCATATCTTATTCCCTTCATTATCTTAACCTGTGCATAAAGCTGCCGCATGACTTCTTACAGTACCTACAAAATGGAAACAGTCTACAGTAACTCCCTTGTTGACCTCCCTCTGGTTTAAATTGATATTAGAGTTTTGACATTGGTCCTTAAGGTTGTTAATAATCTGGCCCCATTTTCTCTCCATAATGTTTTCCACAGCCAATTTAATCAAGAACACAAAAGTCATGCTCCGATTTTCCAAGAACTAAGTTAGAAAGGAGATCTATAAATATAGATTCAGTTTGTAAAAAGCTTGATTTCCCCCCAAAAAATTCTGAAGCTACTTTAAAAGATTTATCTTAGTTGTGTGGTCCTTTAAAAAAATAAAATAAAAATGTAATTAACCCCTTAATGCACAGTATTGCAAACATGCAGAAAACTGTTTGTATTAAGCAAATATCAAACCAAACATGTGTGTTCCCCCACCACCATTTATTATATGTTTAGTGTAGAACTTGGAAACTTTGAGAGGCATTTGTTTCTTATTACATATTGGGCTGGATGGCGTATGTTATCATTGACTGATGTAGCTGTTGTC